CGCTCTCTCAGGTATGTCAGAGCGTGTGGGATCCGTGTACCTTCGTTTTCTGCTAAAGTGGGCCAATCAGACTAACCAGCTGACACATTTAGAAACTCTAGGCAGAAGCATCAGTTGGTGTTTACAAAGTACCAGAGACTCCTCCCTCACTTTGTATGTCTACCTAGATAGGGGTGACCCTGCTGTTCTGAGGACATGGTGGGGTTGGGTGGAAATTCGTGTCTGTTCCCGGCCTGGCCTAGCACACAGCCTGTCTCCTGACTTGCTTCCGGGGCTGGGACCTGTGACTGCTCTTCAGTCGGGGAGCCCACTTGGAAGTCTGTGTCTGTGTATTTTGACTGCTGTCTTGGACCCTGGGCGGGTCTCCACCATCCCGTGGCTCTCTTGGTGCAGGTGCCATCCCTGGGGGCAGGTGACAGATACACATGCCTGTTGCTTTCTGGGGCTGATGAGGCTGAGCCTGAGAGAGGGACTGGTGTAGTGTCAGGGTTACTTCTGGAGGATGGGCATCTGGTGGCACACCTGTCCTTGGTATGTGTCTGTGTGTCAGCGTATGGATTCAGACTATCCTGGGAAGGATGGTGGGTCCCCAGTCACCTGGAGCGCTGAACCAGCGACAGGTGCAAATGCATCCCGGCTGCTGTGCATGGTGACCTACTGAGCTGTGAGCATCCGACAGAGTCTAGAGCAGAGGGTCCCAGGTGCAGCCAGGGTGGGGAGCCTTCCCTGTGCGCCTGCAGACCCTCAGCAGGCTGGCCAGCAGAACATCTGGATACTTCCTCTCAGTGTGCTCCCCTTCCCCATGGGACTTAGCTAGGCATCTGGAATGTTCCCTGTGAGACATGGAGAAGCTATGAAGGAACAGATGAGAGACTTGAGATTTCGTTCACGTGGAACACTCCCATGACCACAGGCAACAGGACCCCAGAACTCACTGCCCTCAAATCAGTGCTGACTCATAGGGACCCTGGATGAGGTTTCTGAGATTGTCAATCTTTACAGAAGCAGAAAGTCTCATCTTTGTCCTCAGGAGTGTGACTGGTAGGTTTGAACTGCTGACTTTGCAGTTGGCAGCCCAGTGCATATCCCATTGGGGCATAGGGCCATCGGGCACAGCCAACATAAGCCAGGTTCAAAAGAGCAGTTACATTTTGCGAGTGTTTTGTGCACGTATTACCAGAGATCACTGTTGAGAATGTGAACGGTTTCCTGTAAATGCTGAGAAACTCCACAGCTTAGAGAAAGAGATTAAAGCGTAAAAAAGGAAGAAAGCAGCCCCCAGGCTTGGCCCAGTCTGACTAGAACCCCAGGTTTACAGGTTAGAGCTGGTGTTTTCTGGGTCCCCCTCAGGAGCAGGGTGACAGCGTCCCAGGGCATGTCCAGCCTGCTTGGACTGTTGTGAGGGCAAGGTCACTCTGTAGCTAGTGACATGGGTACTTTGAGAAGATGGCAGAGGCGGAATGTGGGGCACGGAGACACTGGTGGCTCTTGTTCCGTCTCCTGGCTGAATTGCATGTACCTTTAGTTCTTCTGTTACGATACTTGTTTCTTAGATAGCCAAAGTGGCTTCACAAGGGGGAAGGAGAATCAAACTCCATGTCAGCCAAGGCCGATCCCTGGGAGGCGGAGGTCCACTTCCAACTTTCCTTACCACCACCCCAACCATCCCTCCCACTACACTACTTTACTGGGTCTGTAAGCCCCTGCAGTGACCTCACGGAACTCAGTTAGGGAAGGGACCAGAAATGGCTCAGATGCAGCGGTCCCCCTGCCATGCTCTACTCTATCAGTTCTTAATGATTCGTGGCCTCGGCCATGTGGTACCTTGGCCTCTGCTTGGACAAGTATTACAAAGCTCTGTTAGTGTTGTTGCTAAATGGCCCAAGGACAGCCCGCCGTGCAGTAGACTCTCCGCTTCACTCCCTGTGTGGGCTGGGACGCTCTTGGCTACCTCTGCCACCGCCGCCGCCACTTTACCGAGCAGGGATTTCTGGGTCCAGAGGACGCGCTGTGCTCACAACCCTTCTTTCTTACTAGTTGTGAGAATTCCTGCTTCTGCTTTGGAGACAGCTCATTTTAAACCTAGTGGAATGGCAAAATGAACCCATCTGCATGGTCTAATCCAGTCATTTGGAGGGAGTTACAAAGATGATGATGGCTAGAAGGAGAGATACTAAAGCATTGCCTTTACCACATGCCCTATCTTTCAGACCTGGATCTTGGAGGGAGCCAGTCAACCCTTACTACGTCAACTCTGGCTACGCCCTGGCCCCGGCCACCAGCGCCAATGACAGCGAGCAGCAGAGCCTGTCCAGTGACGCCGACACCCTGTCCCTCACCGACAGCAGTGTGTAAGCCCCACCCCGAGAGCAGGCGTGTCTGCACAGATGTGCCGTGGCTTCCCCAGAATGTGTGCTGAGTTTTCCGTGAGAGCTCGTTCTGTCTTCCTTTCTTCTGTCTTCCTTTCTCTCAGTCGTGTCTTTGCATTTGGTTGTCTTAACCCTGGAGCCAGCAGTGGTTTAAAGACAACATGTAACGTGACCTTCATGTTGGTCACCATCTTCTCAGTGGTCACACCTCAGACATGGGCTGCACGCTCTCCCATTGTCTGTGCTGTCACATTAGTGGTGTGACCAGCATTCCTAGCGAAGCAGGCCTGGCCTTGGTAGGGGTGGGTGGCTGATGGAGTGAGGGCGCTCGTGTGTGTGCGCACACAAGCTCATGGATCTGTGTGTGCCCTCACATGTCTGGTGGTAGCCCTGGCATTTCCCAGTAGGAAGTCAGGACACAGAGCTGGTCAGCATTGTGTTGGGCCGTTTTCTGTCCTCTCTTGTCCAGGGACGGTGTTCCCCCATACAGGACCCGTAAGCAGCACCGTCGGGAGGTGCAGGAGAGCGTCCAGGTCAACGGGCGGGTGCCTCTGCCTCACATCCCTGTAAGTAGCGGGCACATGCCTCTCAGCCTGCTCATCACTGGTACTGACCCACGGGGATGCCTGCTGTGCGGGTTGTTCTGGCCGTTAGACCAGGGGATATGTCCTTCTATGTCTCCCACTCCCACCTTGGGCATCTCCCATCATCCTGCTAGAGGTCAGGGGTCCAGGTCCAGCTTGATCTGTGTTGCAGCAGCCAGCCCGTCCCCACGTGCTGGGAGCCCTGGGCACCTTAGTGGCCATATTGGGCGTCTGTGGCACCGGGTCTTTGGCAGTAGCAGGCCCTTTGTATCTGAGGCTGACACATCAGCTTTGCATGGGAACAGCTGTCGGGTCAGCTCCTCGCAGGCTCCGTGCCCGGAGAGGCGATTCTTCGGGTGGAGGACGCATCTTTGTCAGATTTCGACAGGCACCTTGATTTCCAAACACGAAAAATGAAAATGGTTAGGTGTGCACACATGTAAGGGCTACAGTGTGGAGCTGCAATGTGGAGCAGTCTGGGTCAAGTGTGGACCAAGCTCTCTCTACTATTCTTGCAACTGTTTTGAGGTGACGTTACTTCAAAATAAAGCAACCCCAGACACAGTCTGTTGTCATGAAGTGTGCCATGGTCATACCCGTTCTGTAAGTCCTGCTTACATTTTCCAGGATTTCTCTGTCCCCAATAAGGGATTCCCACTGCTCATAACATGCAGAGAGAGGGCTGGCAGGAACCCAGTGTGCCCTGCATTGGGTGTGGGGTTCCCCATGAGGGACAGACATCCCAGTGATCAAACGCATTGCCTTGCTCCACATAGCCCACGAGACCACCACCCCAGATCTTGTGCCCCTGACTGTCCTGGGAACCCAGGGTGGATATCTGGGCAGCCTGGCACCGATCAGGGTGGGACTTGGTACACATATGTAGCTCAGGGCACCGGTGGTGGGCTTCCAGCCTGCTGGCACCCATCCAGACCACTTGACCCCAGTGACTTAATGGGCTCGCTTCCCTGGGGCTGAATGTCCTGGTCCAGGACTGTCCATACCTGTTGGTCCTATGGTGCTGACCAGGATTGAGTGGAGAGGGTTTTCATTCTGTGAGAGAATATGGGGGAAGGAAATGCAGCATGTGTTCCCCAGTGTGCTGCATGTACAGGGCAGGTGGGCGGCCTTGCTGACCAGTGCGTCCCTCTCCAGCGCACTTACCGAATACCAAAGGAGGTCCGTGTGGAGCCACACAAGTTTGCTGCAGAGCTTATTCACCGCCTGGAGGCTGTGCAGCGCACACGGGAAGCTGAGGAGCGGCTGGAGGAACGGCTGCGGCGTGTGCGCATGGAGGAGGAGGGTGAAGACATGGACACGGCCCCTGGAGCCCTGGGCACGAGCCACAAGCTGTCCCCCGCCCAGGCCTGGCACCACTTCACACCCCGGTACGCAGACTCGGGCTGTGCGGGGCCTCGGGACGCACACGAGGAGGACCCCGACAGCATTTTGGAAGAGCATGTACAGAGGGTCCTGCGTACGCCTGGCCGCCAGTCCCCTGACAGTGGGCACGCAGCCAGGCTGCCTGCAGCACTGGGCGGATCAGCTGGGCACAGCAAACATGCAACCAAGGCGGGCACAAAGCTGGACACAGCTGGCCTGCACCATCACCGTCATGTCCACCACCATGTGCATCATGGTGCGGCCAGGCCCAAGGAGCAGATTGAGGCTGAAGCCGCCCGCCGTGTCCAGAGCGGCTTCCCGTGGAACCCGGAGCTGCACGGCTATACCACCAAGAGTGCCAGTGTCGCCCCAACCGCCAGCGACAATCTGGGATACGGGTGAGCCTGAGAGGGGTGCGGGAGGCTCCGTCTCTGTCACAGTGCTGCCTGTACGCTGGAGATGTGCCATTGAATCAGTATTGACTCCCAGTGACCGAATGCACAACAGAACGATACACTGCCCTGTCCTGGGCCAGCCTGAGCCAGTCCATCTCATTGGGGGTCTTCCTCTTCTTCTCCGACCCTCCATTTTACCAAACATGTTGTCCTTCTCAAGGAATTGGTCCCTCCTGATAATTTGTCTGAAGTATGAGAGACGAAGTCTGGTCACCCTGGTTTCCGAGCACTCTGGCTGCACTTCTTTCAGAACTGATTGTTTTGAACTTCTTCTGGCAATCCATGGGGCTTACAGTCTTCTCCTCCAGCACCATAACTCAAAGGCATCAATTCTTCTACGGCCTTCCTTATTCACTGTCCCGCTCTCGCATGCATCTGAGGTTATTGAAAACACCATGGCCTGGGTCAGGCGCACCTTAGTCCTCAAGCTGACATCTCTGCCCTTCAACACTTTAAAGAGGTCTTATGCAGCAAGCTTGCCTAATGCAGTTTGATTTTCTGACTGCTGCTTCCACAAGTGGTGTTGACCTGAGCAAAATGAAGTCTTTGACAACTTCTTAGTTTTCTCCGTTTATATGGATGTTGTTTATTGGTCTAGTGGTGAGGAGTTTTGTTTTCTTTACATTGAGATGTAACCCTTTTCAAAGGCTGTGATCTTTTATAAATCCTCTTTGTTTTCAGCAAGCAAGGTTGTATCATCTGCATATTGCATGTTGTTAATGAGTCTTTCTCTAACCCTGATGCCACAGTTTTCTTCATAGAACCCAGCTTCTCGGATGATTTGCTCAGCAGACAGGTTGAATAAGTATGGTGAAATAATACAACCCTGGCGCACACCTTTCCTCATTTTAAACCAGTTGGTATGCTCGTGTTCCGTTTGAACAACTGCCGTTCGGTCTATGTACAGGCTTGTTGTGAGCGCAGTTAAGTGTCATGGCATACTCATTCTCTGCAAAGTTGTCCACAGTTTGTCATGAACCACAAGATTGAAAGCTTTTGCAGAGTCGTCAGAGCACAGGGAAACATCTTTCAGATATTGTTCCCAGCCAAGATCCATCTGACGTCAGCAGTGATAACCCTCGTTCCATGTCCTCTTTAGAATCTTGCTTGACCCCCTGGCAGTTCTCTGTCAGTGTACTTTTATTTATTTTTTTGGTCAGTGTACTTTTATAGCCATTTTTTTAATTATCTTTAGCAAAATTTTACTCGCATATGATATTGTCTGATGGTTTCCACATCTCGTGGAGGTCCTCTTTTTGGAATGGCCAAATGATGGATCTCTGCCAATCAGTTGTCTTCCAATTTCTTTGCATAGATAAGTGAGTGCCTCCAGTGCCACATCAGTTTGTTGAAAGATTGCAGTTTGTAATCCATCAATTCTCGGTGCCGTGTTCTTTGCCAGTGTTTCCAGTGCACCTGGGATTTCTTCAGTATCATTGGCTCTTGACTATATGCTACCTCTTGAAATGGTTGAACATCGACCGTCTCTTTTCGGTTCAGGGACTCTGCATATTTCTTGCATATTCTTTTGATGCTTTCTGCATCATTCAGTATTTTACCTATAGAATTCTTCACTGTTTCAAGTGTCGTCTTGAATGTTGTCTTCAGTTCCCTTAGCTTGAGAAATGCTGAGCGTGTTCTTACCCTTTTGGATTCCAACTCCAGGTCTTTGCACATTTCCTTATATTTGAGTTTGCCTTCACAAGCTGCCCTTTGAAATGTTTTGTTCATCTGTTTTACCTCCTCATTTCTTCCATCTGTTTTAGCATGTCTACACTGGAGAGCAAGTTTCAGATTCTCTTTTACCATCCGTTTTGGTCTTTTCCTTTTTTCTTGTCTTCGTAATGGCCTTTTGCTTTCTTCCTTTATGATGTTCTTGATGTCATTCCACAAGTCTTCTGATATTCGGTCTTTAGTGTTTAATGCATGGAAATCTGTTCTTCACATGATCCTCTAAATTCAGGTGGGATATGTTCAAGGTCACACTTTAGCTTGCGTGGACTCGTTTTAATTTTCTTCAGCTTCCTCCTGAACTTGCGTATGAGCAGTTGATGGTCTGTTCCACAGTCTGCCCCTGGCCTTGGTTTCTACCATCTTTTCCCAGAGATGTAGTTAATTTGATTTTTGTGCATTCCACCTGGCGAGGTCCACATGTATAATCTTCTTTTAGATCTTGATTGTGTGTTTGATCTATTTCAGACTGAAGAAATTGGTTGTTGTTGTTGTCAGGTGCCATCGAGTCGGTTCCGACTCATAGCGACCCCATGCACAGCAGAATGAAACAATGTCCGATCCTGGGCCAACCTCACTACTGCTGTCACACTTGACGCCATCAGTGATGCCACCTGGCCGATCCATCTCGTTGGGGGGGGTCTTCCTCTTCCTCTCTGACCCTCCATCTTACCCAGCATGACATCCTTCTCCAGCGACTGTTCCCTCCTGACAATATGTCCCAAGTATGAGAGACGAAGCTTAGCCATCCTGGCCTCCAAGGAGCACTCTGGCTGCACTTCTTCCAAAACAGATCTATTGGTTCTTTTGGCAGTCCATGGTACTTTCAGTATTCTCCTCCAACACCACAAGTCAAAGGCATCAATTCTTCTACGATCTTCCTTATTCACTGTCCAGCTTTCGCATCCATATGAGGTTATTGAAAATACCATGGCCTGGGTCAGGTGCACCTTAGTCCTCAAGGTGCATTGGTAGAATTCCTCAATTTCATCCTCACTGGCTTTCGTGGTTGGTGTGTAAGTTTGAATCACACTGGCAGCAGCTATCTGCTGGCCTTGGGTCAAGGGTCCAGGGCTGTTCATACTGTGTGGAACAGAGCTGGCTTCGTGTGACTCAGGGTCTCGTCTTTGCAGTGGGAAGGCAAGTGTGTCCAAAAGGACAGCCAAGAAGGCGGAGGCCGGCCGGGGTGCAGCCAGCTCAGAGGTGCCGGGCTCCCCTGAGGTGTTGGAGAAGACACAGACCATCTTACAGTGGATCATCGAGGGCGAGAAGGAGATCAGCAGGCACAGGAAGGCTGGCCACGGGTATGGAGGGGGCTGGGAGGGTGCGGGAGCCTAGACACCCTGCCCTGGACAGGTGATTGAGGGGCTGCTTCCAGAGCCCGCCGCTGGAGGCCTGCCCTGTGCCCACTCTCGGGGCCGCTGGTATCTGAGGCTCCAGTGTTATTCTTGTTCCCAGGCCTTCCGGGGTTAAGAGGCAGCCGGTCCACGAGAGCACCAGGCCTCTGTCCATCGAGCGACCCAGCCCAGTGCACCCCTGGGCCAACGCCCAGTTTCGGAACTCTGTCCAGCCCTCCCACCTCTTCATCCAAGACCCCACTATGCCTCCCAACCCCGCACCCAACCCCCTGACCCAGCTGGAAGAGGCCCGCAGGCGGCTGGAGGAGGAAGAGAAGCGGACCAGCAAACTGCCAGCCAAGCAGAGGTGGGGCTGGCGGGCAGCAGGGATGCCCAGCAGTGTGGTGGGCAGTGGTTCTTGGTGTGGGGGCTGCAGGCCCACCTGCACTAGGAGCCCAGCCCCCACTGTCTTTCCCCAGGACGAAGTCCCAGAAGAAGGCGGGCGGCATGAGCGCCCCGCCGTGTGACAGCATTGTCGTGGCCTATTACTTCTGTGGGGAGCCCATTCCCTATCGGACCCTAGTCAAGGGCCGTGGGGTCACCCTGGGCCAGTTCAAGGAGCTGTTGACCAAGAAGGGCAGCTACAGGTAGGAGCTGTGGCTTTTGGGGTCAGGCCCCAGGCACAGAGCAGGAGCCCCTCACCGCCTGCCCCTCCCCCACAGATACTACTTCAAGAAAGTGAGTGACGAGTTCGACTGTGGCGTGGTGTTTGAGGAGGTGCGTGAGGACCAGGCCGTCCTGCCAGTCTTCGAGGAGAAGATCATCGGCAAGGTGGAAAAGGTGGACTGACCACAGGTGCTGGCCCAGGACACGCTGCCCTGGCCCACCTGGGTCTGGGGCGGGGTCTTTCTGAGGGCCCAGAGGTCTCAGCACTGCAGAGGAGGGAGGCCTGTCCAGTGGCCATAGCAATACTGAGGGCCAGCTCAGCAGGGTGGCCCCGCGCCGGCCAGCCCGGCAGTCCCTCTGCTGCTAACAGGCCCTGCCTGACCCTGTAGGCCTTGCCTGGGGTGGGGCTCACCCCCTGTGGGCCCGTCACTTGTACTTGTCACCGAGTGCCTTCGACACAGCCTGCCCTTGCCTGCCACTGTGAGTCTGCAGTGGGGAAGCAGCCCCCGCGCCCCGTGTAAATATGTACATTTCTCAGGCAGGGCCGGAGGGTGACCTCCCGGCTGTTCTCACGCGCTGACTTGTACAATGGTCTTTTCAAAGGTACTTGGATAATAATGAAATAAAACATTTGTAAACCTTCGGGTGAAGGCTGAGTGTTCTGTATGCTGAAGCAGGTCTCCCACCACCCGCCTGGCCACACTTCCCGGGCAGGAAGGGTACACCTGCTCTGCGGTCACTGGGGCCTGGGGAGTGATGGCTGCCCAGCATCAGCACCCACTCTGGTTGTCCTTCCTATCCCGATACTGCGGGAGACAGGACCAGAAGCACACATGCAGCCAGAACAGAGCTCTTTATTCAGCACGCCAGCCAGACTTCAGGACCTGTTCCCTGGGAGGCTGGGCATCACACAGCCATGAAGGGTAGTAAGGGTGCCCGGGCAGCAGCTACAGCTCCTCCTTGGGCGCCTCTGTGGAATTGACCGTCTCCTGGAGGGAACACGAATGCGCTCATCAGTCCAGGGCCTGTCAGCCAACGCCCTCTAGAGGTCTGACAAGGGACTGCGGCTCTGGCTCGGAACCGCCCCGTGTAGGCACCCACCGGGAAGGGGGCTTGGGGCTCCTCTGCGGTGTCCTCCATGGGCAGCTCCCCCCCGTTGTCCAGGAACTTGGAGAAGGTCTCCAGGTCTCGGGCACTTTTGTACTCGATCACCTGAGAGGAAGGAGTATGTTTCCTAGTCCCACTCCATCCACCTCCCTGAGCCACACCCTCATCCAGGTCCCTCACCTTCTTGTCGGGCCCTGCGGGGAAGTACTTGAGAGTGGGAAAGCCGTGCACAGCAAAGGCCTCGAGCTCGTTGGCTGTGGCATCCAGCTCTGCAATGATGATGTCCGGATGGTCACTGTACTTCTCGGCCAGCGCCTCCCAGGCTGGGGCCATCTCCTTGCAGTGGGTGCACCACGGAGCATCTGGAGTGGGCGGGCAGTCGGTACTAGCCTTCAGGGGCTGCCCACCTGCTGCCCACCCTTTCCCCTGTAGCACTCACAAAACTTGACAAACACATTCTTGGTCTCGTCGAAAACCACCTGCTCAAAATTCTTGCCCACGAGGGTCTTGACAGGCCGCTGATCCCAGTCTGGCGGGACCTCCTGACTCAGGCGATATGGCTGGGGGCCGGGACAGGCATGACACTGGTGGGCACTCTGCGGGCGGGGGGTCCCTGCTTCCTGTTGGCCCCTGGCCACACCCTAAGGGTACCAGCTGACTAACCTTGATCTCTGCGTTGAGGACAGAGTGGCAGAAGGTGGACACGGTGGCTTTGGTGACCGGCGCCCCACCTGCAGGTGCGTACTTGGTGGTGGTTTCAATGTTGACAAAGCGCAGGGTGGGGGCCTCCTGGGCCTTCATGCCAAAGTACTGTAGTACGTGGTCGTTGTCTGCGTCCACGTCCACCACGACAAACAGCACCTGGCCAGCAGGTGTCAGTACTGGGTATCCCCGGGCCACCCAGCCCACCCCTTCTGGTTCCCTAGTACCTGCCCCCGGAATGGGGGAGCCGCCTCACGGAAGCCCTCTACGAGCTCCCTGTGGGAAGTCAGTGTCTGATTAATGAAGAGCAGCAGGTGGTTGAGGATCCTGGCAGCGAAGATCTTGGGAGATGTCTGTGGCGGAAGCAAGCTTTATGGGTGACTCCTGTGTGTCCTCAGCTCCCCAGAGACCCCCAGTCTCCCAACCTGACTCACGTGGCTGTTGAACTCTGTGACTAGGTGCATGCTGTGGGTGAGGAGAAATCGTGACAGATCGCCCTGGTCCAGGCCAAGCTCGTCCACGGGGAAGTCAGCCCGGCCCTCGTCAAACTGCACATCACTGGCTGGTCAGCAGGAGTCATGGTCCCAAACCCACCCAGACCCCCAATTCAGTGCCAACTGCATCCAGAGCTCCACCCAGCCCAACCTTCTTGAAGAGGACCACGGTGTCCTTGGTAATGCCAAACTTCTGAAAGAGCTGTGGCTGGTCAGTGAAGCCAAAGGTCAGGTCCAGCGCATCCTGGGCCAAGGCCAGGAAAGTGGCCACATCCTCACCCTGCAGGTCCTGTAATAGTCCGACCCTGTGAAGCAGGCTGGTGGCCCAGGTCCACTCCCAGGAATAGCCCGCATGCCCCCAACTCACCCGGAAGAAGCCGATGACAACAAGGTCGTGAGCATCTATCAGTGCTTGGGTGCCCGCCTCGTCTTCCAGCTGGCTGGCACTGGGACCCAAGCGCCGCCTCAGCCACTTGACAATGCCCTCCGCCTCCCGGGGTCCTGCCAAAAGGCTTGCTCAGCCTGGGCATGCCCCCACGCCAGTCCCCTACCCCAGCCCAGTCCCCACACCTGTATAGTCCTCTGGATGTGTCCGGTTCCCATCTCGGAAGAACTTGAGCGTGGGATACTCGGTCACTCCAAACTCCTGGGTCAGCTCCGGCTCCGCGGGCCCATCCACCTTGGCCAGCATGGCCTTCACAGTCTCTGCTGCCAGTAGTGTGGCCGCCTTGCTGTACTCAGGGGCCAGGGCTTTGCAGTGCCCACACCATGGGGCATCTGGGGGAGTAGGGCCGAGAGTGGGCCCCTCAGCCTCCCTAACCCAGCCCCTCCACACCACCTGACCACAGCCTGTGGCACCCGGGTCTCAGCTGACAAAGGACACAAGCTCTGTCCACACGCTTTCCTCAGGGACTGCCCACCTTGGCCACAGCTGAGCCTAAGCAAAAAGACCTCCCTCCAGGCACCTGGCTTGGGGGCTGGGAAGTCAGACCACCGAAACCCTCAGTGACCAGAGAAGAACTCCCCTCCACGGGGTTTCCAAGGCTGTAGATCTTGTGGAAGCAGATCATCTCCTTTCTCCCCATTCAGTTAGCAGTCCAGTGATTAACCCATTGTGCCACCAGGTCTCCTTTGGAGCCTCAGTCCAGTGACCTCTCAGACCGAGACCACTGCTTCCAGGGTAGGGCTGGCAAGTGTGGCTCCCTACTGAGGACAGCTGAGTGGACTGGTCAAGTGACAGGCCACATGTGCCGGAAGCATCTGCAGTCTACAGCTCTCTCTGGGGCCAGGGAGAGAACAGCATTGCTAGCAGAGACGTGGTGAGCTCTCATCTCCAGGTCTGCCTTACCCTGTGTGTCCCCCCCCTACCTGTCAGCCCCACCCAGCACAGGGAGACATGGAGAGGTGCGTCCCTGCCCAGAGCAGCCACTCACAGAACTCCACCAGCAGTGCCCGATGTGCCTGCAGGGCCAGGCAAAGGGTGCTGCCATTCAGCACCAAGATCCCGTCTTCCTCAGGGATCCCCTCTGGGACCTGTTCCGGGGAGTTTCCTGAGGCCTCCCTGGACCCTGTCCCCTGCCCCCGAGGCCCCGAGGCCGCGAGCAGCAATAGCAGCAGCAGAGCAGGTAGCAGCTGGCTGTCCATGGCAGTGCCAGGGCCACCGGGCGGGTGCAGATAAGGGGCCTGGGGGCCAAGCGGTAACCGCCACGTGGCACTCAGGCCAGCCCAGGGGGAGATAAGGCCACGAGGGCTGACGGCTCCCAAGGGGAGGGGGAGGTAGAAAGAGACGACACAAGGGGACTGAGGTGGGTGACATTTAATGGGGCTGTTCAGGGGGGTCCAATCACTAACTGAGGGAGCTGGGGAGTGCTGGGGGGGTCCCTGTGCAGCAACTGACCAAGGTGGGGGACCAGGACCTAGTGGGGTGGCCTGAGGGTGGCGGGGGTCAGTCCTGCCAGTCCTTGCAGATGGAAAAACTCCATTCCCAGGACAGATGGGCTGCTCGATCGTCATCTGTGAAGCAGGAAGACACCACGTAGGCGCCCCTCGCCAGCACACCCCGCGGTACCTCCTCCACGAGAGTCAGGAACTCATACTCCTGGGCGCTGGGGCCGTAACTGCCCAGCACGTAAGCAGTCTTGTCCACTGAGGGAGGGGAGGCCTGTGAGGCTGGCTGCCCCCCTGCAGCCACCCACCCCCCCACCTGCCCCCATCCCCACCCTCACCTTGCAGCCCCTTGCGATAGATGTGATGCAGGCACTTGAGACCACAGACAATCTCCCTATTGACCTGCAGAGACAGGTGGTTAGGGTCCGTAAGGGCGGGGCCTCCCTGGGCACCCACTTACAAGCACCTTTACCTTGAAGGTTATCTTTACTCTGTAATCCACACCCTCCTTCAGGACAAACACCTGGTTCTTCAGCACAGCCAGGTCCCCTGTTAGAGAGACAGCACCTAGGGTCTGTGCTGTTAGGGTGGCAGAGACCCTTCCCCACCATGAGGGTCCTGGAGCTGGGCTGAGTCTGGAGGTCTGAGCAGAGCCATGCTGACAGGGTCTCCGGCTGCAGGGCCTCTGTGAGACACCCACCTAGGGCATCAGCAATCTGAGAATTCTTACCTGAGAGATCCATGGTGATGGGCCCCGGGGCCTGCTCACACATCAGCGTCAGTTTCAACACCTGTACCTTGGGCAGGCTCAGGTCTGAGGAGGAAATAGCTGTTCACCAGATGCCCCTCTCCCGTGCCCTCCCACCCTGCCCAGCTCCTTGTGTACCTTCAACTGGTGGCAGGGGCCCCAGCAGTGCCCACTTGTACTTGGTCAGACTCTCATCCTCCATGTCCAGCTCCTGGAGTTCTCGAAGGCTCTTCTGGCCTGGAACCTGGTACCCCAGCACCAACTCATCCTGCCCTTCATCGGGTGGCAGCTGCCCACCTGCCTTGTCTGTCAGGAGAACTGAGGTTGAGGTTGGAGAGAGGGTCAGGGAGGGAGCTGGGCCAGGCACAGCGCTCAGTGACCCCTCTGGAAGAGGTCCTGGGGTTGGTTGAGTGTCTCCCTAAAGGCCTACTTGATCCAGCTGTCCACCCCGAGCCAGAAGTCAGAGGAGGAGAAACAAAGACTCCAAATGAGGATAGACCCCAGGGGTCTGCAGGTTACCACAGCAGAGTGGGGGGGCCCTCTGGGTTGTATCAGGCAGTGACTGCTGAACTCCATACCTGAAGTCCTTTCCACAGCTCTTGATACCCTTAAGACTCTGGACATAATGCCCTAGGACACCTCCTGGGTCCCCAATGGCATAGGCCACTCCACTTGATGTCCTGAGACACCTCTGGGTACCCTTTTAGCCTGCTTTGTGATTGGGGTCTCTGAGGGTCTTCCCAGTCTAGGATCTCTCCCCATACTCTCTGGGTCCCCTGAGAGGAGTCATCGGGAGCCCCTTTCCAAGACCCTATGAGGTCCCTCACATTAGAGCAGGGGTCTCAGCTCGAACCATGTTCCCTCCCATAGTGCATTAGGGCAGGGGTCTCACGCTTCCATGACTCCTCCCACAGTGTGCTGGGATAGAGGTTTTCTCCAAGCCCTTCTCACTGCATCCCCATCGTCCCACGCCCTGACCCCGTGCCAGCCCCACCCTGAGGTGAGGGGATCCCAGGTGCAGGTTCCGACTGGGAGAGAATCCCCCTGCCCTACGGGCTTTGCAAATCATCCAGCTCCTGGCTCCCTTCCCCACGGGCGTCGGTGCCCGAAGAAGCCCCCCACCTCCACCAGAGCCCAGCCGAGAGGCCTCACCCCGTGGTACCCCACGCGCCCCCAAAGTTGCAGCAGGAGGGAGGGGCCGGCCCCGCCCCGCCGGGCCCCCCCGCCCACGCCCACGTGGCGCCCCCACACCCGCCCGCCCTGCTGACCGCTCACCTGGGGCGCAAAGCGCCAGCCGAAGCAGCTCCAACAGCTGCGCCCCCAACTCACACGCATCCAGGCCCAGCATGGTGGCCCGCGGTCGGCCGGCGCGCCGTGGAGCCGAGG